TTCTTACTATTTGTAAACTTGGAATTTCTACCTTTTTACTATATTTAGACTATTTGTATTTAGATTATTTATATTTAGATTATTATGCTTTAGCAATACCTGTAATTTAAGGTCATGCCAATAAAGCTATTATAAATTGAAAAATTGAAAATTAACAAGTAAAATTGTCTAGCTTTACAGTACATCTCAGAGGTGGATTTAGGGGGGGGGGGTGCGCACCCCCCAGGCTCTGGTCAACAGGGGTGCATGGGGGTGCAAAAATGACGTTTATCCTAATTCTAACCAACTTATGTTAAGGAATTCAGTTGCGTATCACTAGTTGACAATAGCGGAATAGCCAATATTAAATATTCTGAATTTTTAAATGTTTTGAGAATCTAAAAATTTTCCAGAATGTTTTCTCAGAATGCTGGAAATGCCATTTCAGAGACCCAAATTGTCAGTTGATTCAGTTTTATACTGTTTGAAATTTGTTATTTTGTTCCTCGACCTTGCACTTTTGTTCAAAACAATTTTAAGAACGTTTTGTCCCAAGTTTTGATTGGCTGGTCAAAGCGATTAACGCAAGCGAACAAAATTTTTCGACTTTCGACGTCTTGTTGTCTATTTTGTATACTTGTTGGCTTTCTAATTCTAAAGGGCAACGTCATTGTTTGTTTTAAAAATTAAAATAGCTAAAATTGGGAGTCTTACTTCTTGTTTTCAAACTGTATAATAGAAGAAAAGAAGGAGAAAAAGCCAGAGTATACTTAACGTCTAAACACTGACACTGGTGTGCGTAAATATTATAGCAAAGCCACGGAATTTAATACAAGTGAGCAAGTGACCTCGGTGTACCTCAAGACCAAGCCAGTTAAAAGTCAGTTTTTCATGTTTATTGGATTTAAAGAGATAACTTCTCTACATAATTGTGCATTTCAATAACTATCTCATGCTCTTTCATCCGAAATAATCATTGTTTTATCTTCAAACTCCGAGTTTATCCGCCGCGTATAGCGATTTAACGGTCTCAAGAGACCGTTTAAGTTTACACGGTGGATAGGCGAAATTGAACCGGTTGATAGCCCTAAACGGGCTTCGTACAACGCGATTTCTCGAGCGTTTAAATTTTATCCGGCGGATAGCGAGTTAAACGGTGGATAGCGACTTAAACGCCTTTCGTACAACCGGCCCCAGGTGAATATAACAAAATCGAAATTTTCAAAATGGCGGCTAGCCGTTTTGTTGAAGTTAGTGATAAAGAAATAAGGGAAATTAAAATAATTCAGACCAGAAAAACAGAAAAAAACTTGTGTTTTTTTGTTTTTATGTTAATACGGTTCTTAGCCAATCACCGTTCAGAATTTACACATGTTATATTATAATATAACATAATTATAAGTAATAGCATAAAAAGAAGCGAATTAGCTATTAAAACGTCCCGCCCGATGAGGGTCGTTTAGTATAATTCCCTTGGGCGCCGCTCGATGAGGGTCATTTATAAAATTGACCCGAATCGAGCGGCGCACATGGGAATTTTACTAAACGACCCTCATCGGGCGGGACTTTTCAATAGCTAATTCGCTTCTTTTTATGCTATTACCTTATAATATCATGATTGCGGGTATTCCCGTTGTTTGCGGGCCATTAAAAACCAATTAACAATAAATAATGGTATAAATTAAATGGTATAATTGTTTTCCATGTCTTTGTTTAGTTTTGGCGATTTCAGATATCTCATTTATATTCATTTTTTCTAATCGTACCCGCTTTGACGTCGTTTCGGGTAGGATTAGAACTAATTCTACCTGACATGACGTAAAAGCGGGTAGGATTAGAAAATATGAATATAATGAGGTGTATTAGTTTTTAATTGCCCTGCGAGAACAAAGGGAATACCCGCAATCATGATATTATATAATATAATATATCACACGAGCAGGAGATTTTTGTTATGATATCCAAGCACCAAGTCCATCAATATTGTTAATAATCGAGGTGAAGCCGACGATATTGAGAAAAGTTGAAGATGTCACCGGATATCCTGATAAAACAACGATTTGACTATTTATTAAACGAGATGAAATCGTTACAAAAGTTGGCTTAATTTAAATTATTTTTTTTATTTAATATCCAAAGCACCGTATTAATTAAAATGATTCCCTTTTATTCGGTCGGTTCGTGAAATGATGAGTTCGAGGTGTAAAGTGTAACGACACCTTGATCCCTGTACTCGTTCTTTTTCAGTCTGAAAGCAGAATGGCGTGCAGTAAAGAATTGCGTGTCCCAAAAGAATGGAACAAATACCACAAGGATATCGTGAACGAGTCCGTAGATCCAGAATTATTCTCCGAAGATGAACTCTTCTTGTGGTTAGAAGAACTTGATTTGAGTCACAACAAGTCAGAAGTAGCAAAATATGTCCAG